TGCAGCATGGCCATACCCCCTGGGGGTGATTTCTCACTTTCTATCTGTCTGTCTCTCTCTGTTTTTCTGGAGAGTGCATGTGCCCTATAGCAAAAACCTTGCCAAAAAAAAAAAAAAAAAAAAAAGAAATGAACAGGAAGAGAAAGGCGAGCAAAGAGGAAAGGAAAACAGCAAGGTGCGGAACAGAACAGACCTACGGACAGATCTCTCCTCTGGCAAGTCTCTGCGTGACACTTGGGGACACTCACCACTGTGCCTTTCCCAGGACCCTTGGCCATATACTCCTGAGTCCTATCCTTCCTCCCAAAAGATTTGGATTGGCAGTCTGGGTCTTGGGGACAAGCATTCCTTAGCCACCACTGTGAAGCTGTGACTTGTGCTTCTAGACAAACAAAGGAGGGGTACACAGATCCCCAAATTCCCTCATGTGGCCCCTGGAGACATCACCTTGAAATGACCAAGGTTCCAGGAGGCTGGAACACAAGGACGCCGTATTGCCAGCTACAATCACGTGGGTTGTAGGAGCTCAATAAACTCCAATAAAGGAGTGGTGAAATCTCTACACAGATCAGGGCAGAGAGAGTCAGAAAGACCTGGTTTCAAATCCTCACTCCACCACTCACCAGCTGTGTAGCTTTAGGCAAATGCCTAAACTTCTCTGGACTTCAGTACCTAACTCATAGGAGCAGGGGAGCTATCAAAAATATCTGACAACCAGCACCACATGGACACTGATGTCAGCTGGAAAAAGCCAATGAGAACAGACTCCAGCCTAGCCATGACACTGGGTACCACTGGGCCAGAGCACAGCAGGCCAGGTCTCCATCCAAGGTGGGAGATGGGTTCACTTCGCCTCCCCTCCTGCTCCACAGCACTGCCTGGGAGCCATGACTACCCTGAGCAAGGGGTGGCTGGGCCTTGGCTGGCCCCTTCAGAGTGACAAGCAGGCCTGGAATCCTAGCCGTCTCCCTGCTCCACACAGGCAGGCAGCACCAACCCACCCTGGCTGCACACAGCTCATTGCCAGCAGCTGGAAGCCATCAGGAATGACCCACAGGGGCTGGGTTTCCTGCTGCAGAGCAATCCGTGGCTCTTCTTGACTTTGCCCATGCGTCTGCTCTGCCCAGAATAGTCTCATCTTTCCTCCGCAAAAATCCCTCGTATCCTGTAACAGCCCTTTTCAGACAGCCGCTGCCCTCGAAAGCTCCCTGCCCAGACCCAGTCCTCACTGAATCTTGCAGACCCAGAATCCTCCCTCATGCCTCCTGGCAGACAGGGCTACCACCATCTGCTCCCCTGGGCCTTCCCATGTGGGAAGCCCTCAGGAGCGGCAGGCTGGGGTCGCTCTTTGCTGTCCCCCAGAGCCTGGCATGGAGGCGTGCTCAGGGGGTGGGAATCTAAGCCGAGGGCTTCATTACCATGTCATTTCCTGGAGAGGTGGCCCCAACAAAGGGGCCCTGAAGCCTAAACACAGATGCTCCCATGATCCCGGCTGCTGCCTGGGCCCACACCAGGCCCAGGGCCAAATCTGAAACGGTAGGCTCTGTTGAGACTGGGAGAGATGCAGGTGGCTGGGCAAGGGAAGTAGGAGCCATTCTGCACAACAGAGCCTAAAAATAATTTGGAGTCCTTCTTGGGCCGTAAGTCCATACGCACATGGGTGTGCACCCACACTCACATGAACACACATATGTACATATACACTCAAGCCCAGGACTTCCCTCCTGGGGCAATGCTGGGACAGGTGTCGGCATCCTAGACAGTAAGGGAGGCGAGGGCCTAGGACCCAAATCAGGTCTTCTCACAGTGCATGTTGGGAGCAGCGCTCACTGTCCATGTCCGAAGTACTTTGGGGGAAGATGTGTTACTAATTCCACCTCCTATGCCCTAAACAGGGACAGAATCTCAGGGTGTGGGCTGAGAAAGCGATACTGTTAATAAATAAATAAATAAATAAATAAATAAATAAATAAATAAATAAATAAATAAATAAATAAATAAATAAATAAATAAATAAATAAATAAATAAATAAATAAATAAATAAATAAATAAATCAGACAAAGAAAATATAAAGGAATCCTCCCAGAGGTACTGGTACTCAGAGGCTGAACATGACCTGATCTGGCCCATGGACAGAGCAGTGACCTAGCGGGGTAGGCACATGGCAGAGACAGGGGCCCCTGGCCCAAGAAACCAAACCTTCTGCAGCACATTATTTATGCATTATTCAACTTATTAGTAACTGTAGTGCAGGCCTGATTGCCACCCCCCACCACCCCCAGGATGGCCAACCCAAGGTAGCTGCTGTGTAGCCTCCCCAAGGCCAGGAGCTGTACCTAACCCGTCTGATGGAGCACCCCCAGGCAGCCACACATTCCCTCAGACAGCATCCTCCAGGGCACAGAGCGGCTGTGCCTCCTTCTCTTGCAGCCCGCAGCCCCGAAGAGTGGCCAGCACAGGTCTCTGGGAAGCCTGGGTGCAGGATCACCCAGAGCAAAGCAGGAACCTCTCACCACCCGGGGCCTAAGAACCACAGGGCCAGGGACTCCAGGCAGTGAAGAGAAACTCTGCCCTGGGGAGGGATTTCCTGCCAGGGTCCAAAGGGCCTGATGGGAAGAGGCCCTGTCTCTGCCGGAATCTCTCCCCCTCAGAACAGGGCTGCTGGCTGCCAAAGGCAGGCAGCTGGGCTCGTGGCCCCCCAGGCCAGCTGAATAGTGGCTTCCTGACTTCCCACTTCAGTTCTCTCATCTGAAGCTTCGTGATGAATAACCCTCCCCAACCTAGTCCTTCCCTGCTGCTGTGTGACTCCAGCCCCCAGCAGCTGGTGGAGGGGGTCAGGGCTCCCTTGAGCAATCTGCAGCCCTGTTTATCCTCTTGGACAGAAAAAAAAAAGCAAAACCCACAGTCCTGTCATGGCAAAACAATGAGGAACAGAAAGCCCCGAGGCAGAGCAGGACAAAGGTCACTCCCTCACTGTGAGCTCCAGAGAGCAGGGGCTGGGCTCAAACCACAGGCCTGGAAGCCAGGCCTTGGGCCCCAGGGTACTACAGGGATCAGGCAGGTCAGCCCCAAGGTCCTCAGAATGTGGCCAGCAGTCTCTGGGAAATGCAGCACTATGGAAGCTTCCAGTTCTTTGCTTTGAGTTGCGAATGTTCAGATTCATGAACCGCCCACCCTAATGGGGAGCTTAGATATTTTAAAATGAGGAAATAGATTGGATAGTCCTTGATTCAACCTGCAAGCTTAGCAGCTCCAATCTTTCAAACTATGGGGGCCTGGGTGAAAATTTAGAAATCACGGATAAGAGTTAACCACCAGTTTAATAAGTGGGGA